GAGTTGACCTTAGAGCGATCTAGGCTGGCAGGCAGGCGTCAGCTACGTCATGGTTGAGTGTGCGGACTCTGGGGTCAGATTGACCTCGGTCTAAACCGAGCTCTGCCACTTCCCAGCTGGCTGCCTTGTGATAAGCCTTAGCTCCAGGGCAGCTTGGTGGTACATAGGTGCCTGGTACATAGTAAGTGCTCACCTGTTAACGATTATTAGCTTTCATGCAGTTAGTCAACAAACAGGTCCAGGGTGAGGCCCTCGAAACACAAGGACAAATGAGACAGTTTCAGTGTCACTCACTTGCTCACTCAGAATTCACTCCTCTTTGCTGTCTGCCCTGTGCTTGGGGTTGGACAAATAGTCATTCTTATTACAGGTCATACTCAGTGAGCTCTTACTCTGTGCTAGGTGCTCTTCCCAGCACTCTTACGTGTTGTAAGTCACAACTGTACCACTAGGTGAGAGAGATTAGGTAACTTGCCTGAGCTCACACAGCCTGAAGGTGGCAATGCTGGGATTCAAACCAGGTCAGAGGCTGCCCTTAAATATGACACTGGTCAGAGATGAATGTGTCTTTGCTCTTGCCAAGTCATGGTCTAGTGGAGAGGCGATGGGGCAGTGGTGATGATGGCGTTGTGGGGCTCAGGGTCTTGGGGCGGACTCTGGGCGGCCTGCCCAAATGTGTTCCTTGGGCAGTCAAGGCCACCTGGTGGCACCCAGAGGAAGTGGATCTTGGTTCACGAATCCCTTGCTGGCCAAGGCCAGTGTTCAAGCAGATGTGTCCCCCGGCCCAGGGTCCCAGGTCAGGGACCGAGGAGGAGGACTTCCGAGCCTGCCCTCTCCCTGTTCCTTTTTCAGACCCACGTATCCTAGCCTCCTTGCAGAGCAGGCTGCCTTCTAGTCCCTTCTCCCTTCTCGGTTCCTCCTCTCCTGGCCACCGTGTCTGCCTGCTTACTGTCCTGCCCCGCAGCTCTCAGACCCTTCTCTCTCTCTCTGACTCCCTGTCCTGGTACTTCCCTGGGCCCCACAGAGGGAGGCGTATTTTGCACGGCTACGGCGGGCTCACCAGGTAGGCCTGTGATCTGAGTGATGTGACCTGGAGTGCTGTGTTCTTGGATGCCCTCAGCCCCGCATGGGGAGGTGCCCAGTACCCACGGCAGTGTGGGTCCTCGTGGACCCGGGTTGGGCCCAATGGCCCATGGTCAGGGCACTGCTTTGCCCAAACCCTGGGATGGCAGGAATTTGCCAGGAGGGGTGTGTGCCTCATCTGCTGTGTGGTCTGGTCCTGGTGCCAGTTGTCTGTGGCCAGAAAGGTGGCAGGGAAACTAACATGATGCTAAACCACGTGACTATACCTGGCCCACCAGGTTACCCTAGCACTGCCTCTCAAGCAGCCTCCATTAACCACCTGTGTGTGTATGGCCCTCAAGCGGCCCGGAGTTAACCCCAGCGTGCCAGCCTGGGGAGGGGAGCATGCATCTTTTTTCCCAGTCAATGTGGGCCTTTCTGGCCACCATATCCATGGGGAGAGAACACTCACCAGGGCTCTAGCTCTGGGGCTCAGAGGTTCTGAGCTGGCCTGTGCCCTCTACCCGTCAGAACCGCACGTCCCTCTCAGAGGAGCAGTTGCGGGCAGCTGTGACAGCGGGGAGGATCCCGGGGCCCCCACGGGGCAAGGGCTGGGCACAGCAGCCATCACAGGTAACTAAAAGCCTGACCAGGGACAGGCTGTGTCTAGGGGGGGAAACCAGAGAGCATAGTCCAAGTAGGAGCTTGGAGCTGAGACCCAGGTCATCCTGGGTCATTTTCTCCCCTACCAGGCCAGGCCCCAGGCTGATGCCCAGACCACCCCATTGTTGTCCTTGGGAGACGTTCCAGAGCTGTGAATGGCTTGGGCTGGTCCCATAGATACTCATGGACCGTGAGGTCCAAGGATTGGTCTCCCCCACCACAAATGCCCCTGGGGCTGCCTCCAGCCCCTCTCTCCTGAGCTGGGCTGGGTGTCTGCCCCTCTCTTGCCCAGGCACCCACTGTATGGCCTTTCCCTCATAGTCTGGGCCCATTCCAGGATAGCTCTACCAGGCTCATGAGGAGCAGGAGGGCAGGGAGTACAAGGGCCGAGCATCAGACATCAGTACTTGTGAACAGATAGCACTGAAGTGGGTGGCTGGCTCGGCCCAGCATGGCCTGGTGGGTAGGAAAAGCCTCATGGTGTCCTTTCTGTCCCTCTGCTCCTTTCCTTCTCCCTCTTCTGGTCCCCTAGGTGGATGAGGCCCAGAGGCGGATGGATGCTGAGATCTGGCAGCTCCTTTCCAGTTTTGCTGCCCACCCCCCTCCCCCTCCCCAGAGACTCTCTCCCCATCCCCAGCCTGCAGCTGCTCTGCAAGAAGCTCCACCCTCCTCTCCCTCCTCCTCTTCTTCCTCCATCTCTTCCTCCTTCTCCTCCTCCACTTCCCTGTCTTCCTCAGCAGGCTCTCAGGTATGTGCCAAGGCACCCACCAAGGGACCTCCACCCACCATGTTTTCTAGACTTCAGCTGATTCTGAATCAACTTCACAAATTCTGTCATTGCTGCACTATTATTTACTCTGTTTCTTTAACTCAATCACATACCAATGCAATTATGTTAGTTATACATTTTTAAATACACATTAAAATAGCCACTAAATTTCAAAATGTTCTCTGGTGTGTCCCGTAAATCATCTTATGTTCCACAAGAAGCACAGCACCAGATGTGAGGAGACACCCACCTAAACTGGCCAGCAAGAGCCGTTGGGGTGTCCAGGTCCAGACAGGGGAGCAGGTTGTCCAAAGAGCAGGGCCAGGACCTAAGCTATGAGAGTGGGGGTGGGGCTTCACTCCCTCCGCCCTCCTGGGTCTCTCTCCAGGGTCTGTGCTCACCGCATTAGGACCATCTCTGCCCCCTCGACCTGTCCCCTCCCTTTCACCGCCTGTCCTTCTGTCCTAGTTCTCTCTGTCCTACGAAGGCTTCTCTCTGCTTCCTGAAAGACTCTATTATTGGCAGCTGCCCAAAGCCTTCCTGGGGAACAAGGTAACAAGGATTTGGGGGGAGGTAACAGGGGTTCCATAGAATCCTAAAATATCCAAAGGCACTTTGTCAAAGGACACAGATGCGTGGACCAAGGCTCAGAGAGGGCGCCCACATCCAGGTCAAAGCTGGGCTATGATTGAACCCAGCTCTACTCTTACCCTTCAGCGGGCCGCAAGCCCTGGCAGAGGGGCTCTCTCCTGGGAGGTAAAACACCCTTCTTTGGGCTCCTTGTCCCCTGTATCCAGATCACTGACCTAGCTCTGGGCACTACATTCATTCATTCAAGAAGCATAAATTGGTACTTAACTGTGTGCTGTATTGTGTGTAGGCGGAGCAAGACCCTGGCCTCCCAGAGCTCCTGTTAGTCTGATTATCCTTCCTGCCATCAACAGCATCAGCCTCTGCATTGTCATTATTATTATTAGCACTGCATTATTGTTAGTGTTGTTCCAAAAGTGACTGCCTGCCTCTTAAGAATACACACAGTATACAGTAAAATAACATTCAGAGAAGCAGACAAGACAGCCTGGTCCAGGGGGAAATGAAGATCGGGAAGATCTGCTGGAGCGAAGGGTAGAGATGGGTGCAGTGAGGAGTTAGCAAGCATTGAGGCTGTGTGTTCGGCTGGCCCTGTGCTGAGTGCAGGATGTTACATGGCCTATATTACTTAATCCTCATCCTGCCTTTCAAGGGAGGTATTGTTTGTATTCCCATTTCCATATGAGGAAAGTTGAGCTCAGAGAAATGAAGTGACTTGTCCAAGGCTATCTAGCCAGTAGAGCTGGACTTGAACTCTGCTCTTAGACTGCAGAATCTGCTCCCTTAGCCACCAGCTTGGTCCTAGACATGGCAATGAACTTGGGCATCCAAAGCAAACGGGAAACCAGCTGTTTCATGGTTATCTGGTTGTGCCCCTGAATTCCCTACCTCGCCCTGAGCTTACAGAGAACATTCTCAGAGCTTGTGTAGCCTGGGGCCTGGCATGCAGTCAGTAGATGTTTGATAAATGCTTATCAACTGAAAGAACACAAATGAACAAATGGGCTAGGCCTGCCACAGTGTGGTATTGATCTGAACATCTGCCCTGTTGGCAGAGGAGAGAAAGGAAAATCCTGTGGGCAGAGCTGGGGCCTTACTGCCCACATGCAGGTGCCCAGCAGCAGGTGTAAGGACTCTTACAGTTGTAAGCAGTAGAATACCCAGCTCCAGCTGGCTTGTCCGCAACAAAGAATCTTTTGGCTCGTGTAACTACAAAGCCCAAGGATATCAGGCATGGCTGGATCCAGGAGCTCATTAGGACTTTATCTCAGTTGGAGCCATTCTCCAACTTCTGATCTGACTAGTAAAGGAAGTTTCTCTGTGCCAGTGGAAAGAGCAGAAGTACCAGGTTCACACATTCATCCCTGATGGAGCAGAGACAGTGAGTGGTGGAATATGCAGATGAGCCAGACCTGGCTCATGTCTCCACTGCAGAGGAGGGGGCGGGCCCCTCAAACCACATGGCCTCCCTGTAGAACAGTTCCCTTTAAAGGAAACCAGGACTGCAGTTCGCAAAAACGGGAGAAATGGATTCTGAACAAACAAACAAAAACCCTATCTACCCAGGAGGCAAACGCTCTAAGTGGCTACCTTCAGGACCCTCCACCCCACCCCAACAACGGCTGAGAACTTTTGAACCTTCTACAACCTCCCCTGGTGGTCACTGCCATTACCTCATTCTGCTTTATGGGAAATTCCTTTAACGGAAGGGACTTGGAGTTTGTTTGCTGGAATTGTCAGATGATGGGACATGGGGAACCGCATATAACAGAAAAGAGGCTTCTCAGGCTCACTGCCACCAGGTCTGAGACTGAAGAAACTGAGAGATATCCTCTCACTTGGGCAACCTCTGGCCTCTGGTTGAGTGGGGGTGGGGGGGACAGCACAGGTGCAAAAGGGCCTGGAGAGGCTCCGCCCCCTCACCTGTGTGGTCCCACACACCCCAGAAGAGGGCAGTCAGGTTGTGAATGCAAGGGCTTGCTTCTTGCAGGTGGCGGCCTATGGTGGGAAGCTGCGTTACACCCTCTCCTACACGGCGGGGGCCCAGGGCAGCCCGCTCTCTGACCCTGACATCCAGATCACGGTGAGCATGTGGATTCCATGCCAGCAGGCAGAAGGAGAGGGAGTGTGGAGGCCAGGGGGCACCCTTCAGTCCAGCACTCAGCTGGCCAGGCACCCACCCACTGGTTAGGCTCATGTCTCCACCCACCATCTGTTTGGATGCCACCCAAGCAGAGGGCCAGCTACTGGAAGACGGGGGCAGTGGGCATGTACCTGATACCTTTGGGCACATGAGCTTGGGAGACTGGAGATGTGGGAGACTGGTGTTAGGCGAGGCTGGGATTGTTGGAGGATCCCACTGTCCCTGGGAACCTCTCAGTTCCCCTCCCAATCCCACTGGTGTCTCCCCAGGGCAACAACATCATGCTGGTGGCCTCCCAGCCAGCACTGCAGGGCCCGGAGAGGAAGAGCTATGAGATCATTTTCCAAGAGGTGAGATGCGCTTGGCCATACCATGTCTGACCCTCCCCACCCTCCACCCCGCTTTGGAGCCTGGCTTTGCCACCAGCTACCCCTGCCTCTCACTCCCCCATCCTCAGCTCACTGTCCTCAGCCAGCACCTGGAGAGCTGGAACTGGGGGTGGGGGCACTGCAGGGGCAGCACACAAAGCCCAAGGCCCCTCACCCTCATGTGCTGTGTGCTCCCACCTAGGAATTCTGGCGCCGTCCTGACGGGCAGCCAGCCACGCGTGAGCACCTCCTGATGGCACTGGCCGACCTGGATGAGCTCCTGGTCCGGGCCACATTCTCCTCGATGCCACTAGCGGCCAGCATCAGCGCAGTCAGCCTGGAGGTCGCCCAGCCTGGGCCCTCAGAGGGACCCCGGGCCCTTGAGGTGGAGGAATGCCGCTGCCCTCCAGGCTACGTCGGCTCATCCTGTCAGGTGAGGATGACCAGCCTAGACACCTGCACCAGCACTGCTGGATCAGCAAGCAGGTCCACTGGGATTTCTGTGGCCTCCGATTACCGTTGTAACTTTAATGTACTCGGCAACATCTCATTTGTTCTTTCCAACAGCACTGAGAAATGTATAATATTCTCCTTTAAACAGACTTTGTTTTTTAATGAGGTGCTAAAGTGTGAGTGACTTACCCAAGAGCACACAGCTACGCTCTCTGGAGATTAAGACCCAGCTTGTGTTCTCGGGGCTCCTACCAGAGACAGGAAGACGATACAAAGACTCAAGCTAGCCCAAAGCAGAGCGTAGAGATGCCTCAGAATGGTGAACAACGTGGACTGGAGTAGGATTCTAGGCAGGAGGGCAGAATAAGCAGAATCTCAGAAGGAGGAACGTGTAGGGAAATAGCCTGAGAGGCAGAAGGGTCACCCCTGGAAAGCTGGGTAGGGAGGGCGCTTCTTCAGGCCTGGAGCAAGGCTCTGTCCAGAGAGGGTGCTAAGATACTGAGGGCGTGCTGGGACTGGAACTGGCCCCAGGAAATTCCTCTGCCCATGGTGAATGGGAAGGATGGGGCAGGAGAGAGACAGGGGGTCCTACTGGGAGGGAAGGGCAGTGGGGGGTAGAACAGAGGGCCAGTTGGAGGGACTCCGAGAACATCTGCAGGGTTCAGCTGGAGACCATGGACACGAGGGCGGGGCCCGAGCTGACTGCTCCACTGAATCCCCAGGCACACAGCAGACAACCAGTTAACATTTGATGAGTGAATGTGGAACCAGGGAAGGGGAATCTCAGGGCGGGGGGCAGGGCCTCAATGCCAGGTGGGCAGCAGGGAGGTCAAGCCTGGGAACAGCCAGCCCACCCCTGCCTCCCACTCAGGAACTCCCAATGGGAAGTCCACATCGCTGCAGCTTTGCATCTGTGCACCTTGGCTGTGGCCACAAGAACTTTCAAATCCAGATAGAGGAACTACATGTCCCTTGAAGTTACCAATTTAACACATTTTGGAGAGCCCCTGGGGAAAGCAGAATCCTTGGTGCACATTTTCTGCAGTGAAACAAACAGATTCATAAACATCCTTTTTAAATGATCGAGGAGGGAGGGCCTGGGGAGATTTGAAAGAAGGGGCAGCAAATAGAAATTCATGGTTCTCAGAACCTGTGATTACTCACTTAGGATGTGTAAAAAAACATCCTTGGTTGTATGGGTGCTACCTCTTTTGCTTTATGAGCAAACGTAAAGGTCTTCAAGGACTTATTCCAAATCCAGGTCTCCTGAACCCTCTTTTTTCCATCTAGGGGTTAAGTTTTTCAGTGAAGACCCTGCTGGAAGAATTTTCAGGAGCAAAGCCCTAGGGATGGAGAAGGGTTCTCCATTTTGGATGAACTATTATTTCAGTATATCCATAGTAGCTGGAGATGCCAGGCAGGATGGGCGAACGCTGTCCCAGCTCTGGAGTGTTGGGAAAATGAAGATGGAAGGGGAGGGCTATTGAGAGGGGGCACTGGGGTGGAGAGCTGGACCTGGAATCTCCCCTCCAAGGGCCAGTGGGAGTCTTGATGATGGAGGAGGAGAGGGGTTCTGGGTCTGCTGGCTCTGGGTGGGACCACATCAGAGACCAGCTCTCCTCTCTACCCCCCAGGACTGTGCCCCCGGCTACACACGCACTGGGAGTGGACTCTACCTTGGCCACTGTGAGCTGTGTGAATGCAATGGCCACTCAGACCTGTGCCACCCAGAGACTGGATCCTGCTCGGTAAGATGCAAGCAGGCCAGGGTAGGGGTCAGCTTGGCTGGACCTGGGTGGAGATATCAGGGCTGGCTGTAGGATAGGGAGGGGTGGGCTTGGTAAGGTAGGCATAGGTCCAGGGGCAAGGTCATGGGTCACAAAGCACCTGGACCAGCAGGTCTGGCCATTGAGGGGTTTCAGGCACAGTGGGGTGCTTAGAACTATGGAATAACAACCTTCTTTATAAAGAAATCTTTGGTTCCTGCTATTTTTTATCACCAAAGTGACACATGTTTTCTGTAGAAGAATCAGACTGTAGAGATAACTTAAAAAGAAAGTAAAAATTCCCTGTAATCCTACCAACTGGAAGTAATTACCGTCAACATTAGACTGTCAACATTGGACTTTTGCTCTTTTTCTGAGCAAATATTTACACATATTAATATACCTTCCATTTTACAAATCAACATAGGATCATCATGTTTGATGGTCAGCCTTTCTCACTTAACAAGCTCATGAACATTTTCAATATTCAAATACCTTTTTATACCTGAACTCTTCAGAGTGATGTATGTCCAGGGTATATGGTCAAGGACTGAATGGTCAACAGAACCACAAGCTAAATATGGAATGAGGAATATGCTATGTTAATAAAACAAACACGAGTGCAGGAGGGTATAGCTCAAGTGGTAGAGTGCCCAGTACCTCCATTAAAAAAATAATAATTCAATAAATAAACTTAATTACCTCCTTCGCCCCCCAAAAATAAATAAATAACAAATAGAACAAACACGATTTCTGGGTCTCTTTGGAGGAGAGCATTAAACTCATACACATTTTTACAATAAAGTACTTACATCCAAAACTCTGCCCCCACAAACCCAGGTGTACACCTTCACTTTCCTCTGGTACTTCAAGTGTTTAAGTAGAAAAATGTAAGAAATGCAATCGGTATCATGCTTTTTGATGGTTGGATGGGTGTTCTTTTTAATTTATCTAGTTCTTTATTCATGGTTTGTTTTCAACATACTGCTTTTATAAACACACTGGGAAGAACTTCCTGTAGTGAAATCTTTGTGCCCCTCCACGGTTATTTCTTTAAGATAAGCTCCCAAACATGGAATTTCCAGATCAAGGGATTATAAAGTTGTTGAGTTTTTGGTAAATTTTGCCAAATGATGAGTGGCTGACATTTTTGTGCCTCACAGCAATGCCAGCACAACGCCGCTGGGGAGTTCTGCGAGCTGTGTGCACCTGGCTACTATGGAGATGCCACAGCTGGAACACCTGAAGACTGCCAGCCCTGTGCCTGCCCACTGACCAACCCAGAGAACATGTGGGTGCCCTTGCTCAAGGCCCAAGGAAGAACTCCCACTGGGGAGTGGAGGGCACTGCCCTGGCTTTGAGGGCAGAAGTGGAAGGAACAGAGTGAGGAGCTGACATCCATGGCCTAACTTTTGCCTCTCTTATTCCAGGTTCTCTCGCACCTGTGAAAGCCTGGGAGCTAGTGGGTACCGCTGCACAGCCTGCGAACCTGGCTACACTGGCCAGTATTGTGAGCAGTAAGTTTGCAAATAAGTGGGATGAAGGGAGAGGGGGGCATATGTTTGACTCCTAAGTGAGAGTCCCCGATGGTGTTACTCAGAAAGGTCCCTACCAAGATCATGTCCTTCCCCTCCCCAGAACCCTTACAAGATTCCTCATTGCCCTTGGGACCAGCCCAGCTCCTTAGGTAGCTTTATCACTCTTCAGTCTCATCCCACTTCTGACACCCAACTCTGTACTCAAGTTGAACTTAGCTTCTTGACTTCTTTGTGTTCAGGTCTTTGCATATGCTATTCCCTCTACATGGAACAGTCTTCACCCTCAAACACCCTGTTCCTGGCTAACTTGTGCTTAGCCTTCAAGGCACAACTTCATTCTCTCATTCAGCACGTTTTTATTGAGCATCTGCTGTGTGCCATGCAGTGTACCAAGGTGTTGGAAATCAAGTGGTGAACAAAAACAGATTCAGTCCCAGCCCTCATAGAGTCTGGCACCTATAATGGGAGACAAGACAATGCGTGATCATATAAATATTTAATTATAAACAGTGGTAGATCCCTATAGAGTGTAGTCTGCTCCAAGGAAATACAGAAGTTCAGCAGTCCCATCCTATGGGAAGCCTCCCGCTTCTCAGGGCCGGATCACTGCCCCCCACCCCATGCCCTCACAGCCCCCATACACGCCCCTCCTCTCATTTACATGGTTTGCATGTTGGTTTTACAACAAGTGAGTTCCGTAAGA